GGATCAAACCAAGCGACCCCTTAGAGTCCACAACTTATGATTACGTCAGCAATAATGTCTAGCCCAATTTCGTCAATAACACAACAGATGTCTCGTCAAAAAACAATTGTCCGATTCACATTCTTCATTTGTCATCTATCTCAGAAGCAAATAAACAAATTTAATTGTCAGTTTAAGAACCAATGTAATCGCCAGTTTAATGATATAGGTATGGTAATACCAAGATTGAAGCCTTGAAGGGAAAAAATTATTGTGGTTTTTCCTAAAAAAAAAAAAACAAAAATACAAAAACAAAAAATAAAAAAGAAAAGTTATTGTGGTTTTGTAAAATGCAATATGAGGCAGGGGCGGAGGCGGAGGCCTGGCCCACCTTCATAGCCCAATTATAGCCCAATACTACTTCTAGAACCGACAATTGTGTCATGTCGTGTCCTATCTTCATCTAATGATCCAATTGACCTATAACCAGTTAAACAGGTTAAATGATATATATATATATATATATATATATATATATATATATATATTTTAATTCACTCTCCTCCTACCTCCCCATCCCCTTCCATGACTTGCCGCACCCAATAATTTGTGTTAATTAATCGGTTCGCAACTAGTCTTCACGCTTTACATATTGTTGAGATTTATCAAAAATCAAATGTATATTATGAGTTCTCCAAAATCCATATTTTTGTGTATTGAAATAATTAATAATGATATTGAAGTAGTAATTAAAAAAGAAAACACTAAAAATTTCAGTTGTTAAGTTCTTCGTATGTAATCATTTGATAGATAGTAATAATTATTAAAAAAAAAAAAAAAGGAAATGGAAAAGGTTATATGTGTAAAGTTGTGAAGAAAAATCTTATGTCAATATTTATGATAATACCTCATTTCAACAATATTCGTTATCATCCATTGCCAAATTCAATTTGGTATTGATAAGTAATGAAACTAATGGATAAAAAAAAAATGCATATTAGTGAAAGAATTCAACTCCGTGAGCTTTTCATTATCAATCAGAGAATATAAATACAATGCACAACCTAGGAGTTAGGCGGAAATAAAGCTAACTGATTCCCTTAAACATAGGGATAAATATTTGACTATCCTAAAAGCTAACTAACGGGCAACGGTTAGAAGTATAGTAAGTATACTTTGACTAAGATATATACAAATAATATGATAACTATAGAATATATTTAGCAAATATATTCTAACACACCCCCCAGTCGAAGCGGGAGGGGGTGTGTTAGACTGTCCCTGATATCATTAAATAAAATGCGCGGAAGCCTTTTGTAAAAATATCAGCAATTTGTACCTTTTTGAATGGGACAATGCAACTCTAGAAGCAGGTTTCTAATCCAGCATGAATCAAAAACAACATTAGCAACACCCCTGTATTCCGCCTCTGCACTACTGTGGGAAAGAGTAGGTTGTCGCTTAGAAGACCAAGAGACCAGATTATCCCCTAGAAAAACACAATATCCAGATATATAACGTCGGGTGTCGAGACACCCACCCCAATCAGCATCTGTATAAGAGATTAGTCGATCAACAGAAGAATTATATAAGTGCAAACCATGGGATAAAGTACCCTGAAGATAGCGTATAATACACTTGAGAGCGCTCATATGCTCATTAGTCGGAGCATGCATATGGAGACAAATTTGTTGCACGACATAAGAGATATCAGGTGGAGTAAAAGTAAGATATTGAAGAGCACCTGCAAGACTACGATACTTAGTTGGATCATCAAAAGGAGCATCTTTGGTGGCACTAAGCTTGGACTTAGTATCAACAGGCGTGGGACATGAACTACAGTTAGACATGCCGACACGTTCAATAATTTTTGCAGCATATTGTTTATGAGATAAAAATAAACCATGGGCATGTCGTGTAACAGCAATACCCAAGAAATAACTCAAAGGACCCAAGTCCTTCATAGCAAATTCCGAACACAAGAGAGCCATAAAATGCTTACGAAGACGATTAGATTAGGTCGTAAGTATAACGTCATCCACATATAACAGAATATAAGCATGACCTTTTTTTTTTTGACAAAGAGAACTTCATATATAAAGAGCAAATTACAACCTAGACTAAAAGAGAGAAACTAAAATACAAGACACACACTAAATTTTATTTACATGCTTTGGTAATATAACCTATGCGAAGCAGAGCACTGCTACCGCGAACATTTGGTCAGAAACCTACAAGACAAACCCCGTTAAGACTTACGTGGGAGTCATGAACTTGTCGCGCGCCACCATAAAATACTTAAACCAGAGCGAAGAAGGTGAGGAAGCTGAAAACAGGAGTAGCATAGGGGCCTAGCAAAGAGAACGGTACACAACGTCGATGGAAGTCGATGTGAGCAAAATACTACCTCTTCAAAACTCAAGTGCCATGACACGAAATGTAGCGAAAATCCACACTCGCCACTAAGGTCATCCCAAGGTCTTGACAAACAACAAGCATCCTGGGATCCTTGACAAGGAGCTACTTTCCCTAGTAACTCGAAGCCGGACATCTCCTGATTAAGAAAATGTCGGACTTGCAAGGAGGAACTTGCTTCCCTCTACTGATCCAGATGAGGAGCCTCCGTCAAGATTTGATTTATAATGATCATGGCTAGACTGGCCATCATCATCAAAGACAAGGTTGATGAGTTTACTTTAATCCCCAACCTAACCCACACCACCATAGCACTCATAACTGAAGAAAGGAATCCCACATCTAAAGCAGACAACATAATTTGAAAACTGCCTTGTGAATCTTGAATTGGATCTCCAATAATCTCTTCCATCATCCTTAAATTAATGTACCTGCCACCATAATTCATCGGTGGCACACACCAATTAAGGAACCAAATTCCTAAGACATAAATTTGGATCATACAACCTAAACCATTCCTACCCCAAACATTTGAGCAGATACCTGCAAGACAAATCCGGTGACAACTTACTTGCAATTATAAACCTGCTGCCACCACATGATGTCCAATAAAGAGTGAAATAGGTGAGGAAACTGAAAAAGAAAGTCACAAAGGGGCCTAGAACAAAGGTCGAGAAACAACATTGATGGAAGTCGATGTGAGCTGAACACTACCTCTTCAGAACTTGATTGCCATGTCACAATATGTGAGTACTTGCACTCACCACTAAGGTCATCCCAAGGCCCTAACAAGCAACGAATAGCTTGGGATCCTTGACCGGGAGTTACTTTCCCTAGTAACTCACTACTAGCATCACCTAACTAGGAGCATGTCCAGCCTTCAAGGAGGAACTTGCTTCCTTCACGTTTTCAGGTGAGGAGCCTCCATCAAGATTTGATTAACAGTGATCATGGCTCTACTGCCCATCATCACCAAACACAAGGTTGAGGGGTTCTTTGTAATCCCTAACCTAACCCACAACATCATAGCAATTGTAACTGAAGAAATGAATCCCACATCATAAACAAACAATAAAAATTGAGAATTGTCTTGAGAATCCTAAATAGATCTCTTATGAACTCTTCCATCATCTCTAAATGAAAACACCGGCCACCACACTCTATTAATGGCACACACCAATAAAGGAACCAAATTCTAAGGAATAATTTTGGAACCTACAACCTAAACCCCAAATTGAAACTTGAGCCCCAACATTAGCAGATAAGGCCTTAATCCCACCATGCTCAAAAAACATCAAAAACACAAATACAACCCAATACAATTGCAACAAGAACACATGATATCTCCAACCAACAGTAACAGCATAATACCCACCCAAATCATACAAAAACCAAAGCAAGAACTTCCAACACACCCAAAACAGACTAAAACACACCAACAAGAGAATAGAGAAGGGCGATATATATTACCAAACGAAACCGACGGTGCCATAATCGAAATCCCCTGCACATAAACCCTCTAAAAGAACTCAAACCACACGAAAAGAAGTCAAAATTAAAAACAGAGCTTCGACCGGTGGGCTTGACGAAGCTACCACTTTGAGTAACCGAGCAGCCATAGCAGAAATAACAAAGCTAATGGCAGCGTCGGTATTTGACTGGAGCTTCCCCTGAACTAAACTTGCAAAAACAACAAGCCCAACCCACACCAAAACTGACCAAAAACAGAAAGAAAGATAAAGATAATTGAAAAGCTCACCGGCGAGAGCAGCCACGAAGCATGACCTTTTTAATAGATTCACTATCATTCTCTCGATTTATCACCATTTACCAAGCGCTCCATTAGGCCCAATATCAATGCAAGCAAAGACATATTGACACATTATATTGGCTATGTTTAAATCTAAGACATTGGTTCCCATCTACTTCGTATAAGCTAATTTTCTAATAAACCTTATTCAACAGTACATAGCTGCAATTCTACAAACTCAAACAAGAAGACAAACACTTTTAATTTGGTAACAAAGAAAATAGTTTAATGAGTATTTGATAGGGATGTTGGTGTTAACTTTGGACGGTAACACCCTGTTAATATGTAGTAGAACATGAATTTATTATTCCACAATACACAGTCACAAACTCAAAACTCATACTTGGTATGCAATAGACCTGTCAATTCGAGTCAACAGGTCAGGTCTAGGCTAGATTTTAGGTTGTGCTAAAAAAACTATCTCAAAGAGCGTAAAAACATAATATCATTACAAATATGTTAAATAGATCAAATCGGGTTAAGTTTGAGTCATTTGGGTCGGGTTAGGGTTCTCTCTCAATAACTTTGTATTGAGTTCGGGTCGAGTAAGAAATTAACAGCTCATAACGCAAATAAAAAGACAAACATGAAAGCGAACACAAGGTACTCATATTAGCCTATTAAGACTAGAAGTTTCCATGCTAACCAGCCCCCAATGCTCCAAACAATCCACCACAAGTACACAAAAACACACACAAGAAGATCCAAAATCACATAAGCCACAAAATTTAGTAAATAAGTGAGGGCGTATGGTTGTTGGTGAGTGCAAATAAAAAGCAAATTGAGGTTCACCTACCCTCTAATTAACATCCCACGACCCACACCATTCAACTTCCTTTGTTCTTTCTTTTTCGGCCCACCAACCCTTTTTCTATTTTTTCTGCATCTTCAACTTTCAAATCTCACTCACCCACCCACTCTTTTGCCATTCTTTCTCCATCAAAATCAATTCTTTTACGAATTGGGATTATTTTCTAAGATAAAGGGGTTGTTTTTGTTTCACAATTTGTTTGATTGAAATCAAATCCAATGGGTGATCAAAAAAAGGTCTTCACTTTAGCTGAGGTTTCTGAACATAGCAATCCTAAGGATTGTTGGCTTGTTATTAGCGGAAAGGTTTAATCTTTTTCCAATCTTGGTTTTGTTTTTGAATTTTTAGCTATTGTTTATTGAATTGATCATTTATTTGTTTGAATTGGATTCATGATTTGAGTATTTGATTTAATTTTAAGGGTATAATAAGGGATTGATCTTGAATTTGTAATTTGATTTATGTTTAGTTGATGAATTTTCATGGTTTGGTTACTTGATTTTTAATCAATTTGATTTATTTTCAACCTGACTTTGATTGTTTTAAATATATGTTAAGTGTATGGTAGTGGGCTGTATTTGAAAATTCAGTTTGATTTATGCTTTTGGTTCAGGGATCCTTAATTTAAATTTTCAGATAATTGTGAAATTATGATATGATGATTCATGATTATTTGCATGCTTGTTATTGGTCGAATTGTGGGTAAAATTCAATTTAGAATGTTGGCATAGTATTTAGATTAATTAAATGATTGAATATTCTACTTTTGTAAAATAAAATTGAAAATTTGAAAGAATAAAGAAGCATTTGAGGTAAACTAGATGTCTGTTTATGCATTATATTCCTGGATCTTTTCTAACATAGAAGGATCAAGGGTTATATTCTGGTCGAAGCGAGAATATGAATTACATCAGGGAAATTGTTGTCATCAGTCTAGCTATATAATATTAGCCTTCTTATTAAATTCTATTGTCTAAATCATCAATTATTTGGTACCCATATTATTATAAGTTCATCGAAAACCTCTTGATTGAACTGTCTAATTTGTTTTGACTTTAATAACCTATCACTTTGTATTACCCTCTTATTGGGCTGTTTAAGTGCTGGTGTAGAAATTGTTACCAGATACTGAATGTGGAAGTTCTTTGGAAAGGGTAACAAATGATTTTAGTAGAATGTCGAGCCCGTATCATGGGGCAATAAGTGAGGTTAATCCTTGGGTTGTTTGTTCTGTGAAGAGGGGGGAGGAGTAGCAATTTGTTCGAATTACGTGTTTCAGATCATTCACCTGTCTTGATTATTGGCGGTCAATTTTTGTGGCAGTTATAAGAACTAAGAAGCCATAAGTTTGTGCAGGGACACTACATTAGACTCAGTTGAAGCTTTGCCTTTGAGACATCTATGTTTGACATGTGACTTTAAAGATGCATCTTTTATTCTTTGGCATCGACTGTATCTTTTGAAGTTTCTAAGGTTTTACATGTACTGTAACAGGTATATAACGTGACCAAGTTCTTGGAAGACCATCCTGGTGGTGATGAGGTTCTGTTGTCTGCCACAGGTAGTAAAATACTCCATTTATGCGCAACTTAAATTTGAGGTTGCCAATTTTCTTGTTGGATGTCTTGGACTCTTGGGTATATAGAGCAGGAAGGCTGGAATTGGAAGCAAATCATTGATTTTCTTAGCTCTACATGTGATAGGAATATTATGTTATTAAGAGTGATTGAGGAGCTATTATACAAATTTTTATCAGTAATTTTAAGAATATATCATCTTACTACGTGGCCAACTTCTTTAGACATTAAAAAGGTAAATTGTAAATTGATTGACATACTCAATACCTGAGTCTTGACGAGATTGGTAGATTAGAGTGAGAGCCTAAGAGGAGAAGAAATTCTTGGCATTTCGTATGAACTTCTATACTGATGCATCATTCCCTTTAGCTTCTGATTGCTAAGGAGGAGCTCATAATGATATGTGCTTGGTATGCAGGAAAAGATGCAACCGATGATTTTGAAGATGTGGGTCACAGCAGCACTGCCAGAGCTATGATGGACGAGATGTATGTGGGTGACATTGATACTGCTACTATTCCTACCAAGGTCAAATACACACCACCAAAACAACCACAATACAACCATGATAAGACTCCGGAGTTCATTATCAAGATCCTTCAGTTCCTAGTCCCCCTCCTAATCTTGGGTTTTGCTGTTGCCATGCGCTTTTACACCAAGCAATCAGCTGAATAACTTTAAGGTGGCCATCTCCTGAGAAAACAAAAATGATCGTCGATAAGAATGTAGTATTTATGGAGCCACTCCCTACCAATTAGAAAATTCCCAGGACAGGGATCTGTAGGATATGTGCCTAATTTCTTCAGCTTCTTTTTGGTTATTTGGTGTTTTTACTACCTTCTTTTCTTCTTCCCCTCGCCCCCCCCCCAACCAATTTTTCTGTGTGATTTTGAAATTACAAGCGATTTGTACTCCGGAACTCACTGCCATTCCTTTGGAATTCTAAACTTCAAACCTTTCTAAACATTCTCTTCATATTAGATTTGTCACTGCTCTTTATTGCAGCATTTTGATTTATCTTAACAATGGCAGCCATATAAAGAAGAAATTAGTGAAAATAAATGAAACAGCTTAATTATATATGGAGTAGTTTAATCCTTAATTTTTAACGGAGTAGTGAAAATTTATTTTAATTAATTTGTTGTTTATTTTCTCTGCCAAGGAACTATGATTAAAGTAAATATAACCTGAGGAAAAATAAAATTGCATTGGATATAAGGTACAATCCTGCTTCACTGCTTAAATATTTTCATAACATCTGTGCATATATATATATACCAAAAATAAGAGATTTTCTGCAAAGTCAATACAGGATCTCCATTTCTTTGTAACATTCTCAGATTGAAAAATAAGTGGTTATCACTAAGTTAAAAGCACAAATTCATATAAAAAATTCTGAGGGCTGAGGTTGGCAAGCAACTGGCAAGAAAATGGAAGATGAAACCCCATTGAAATCCTGTTTGCATTGCTCGTCGCACCATAACATTAATATGTTCTATCAGTAACCTTAGAATCTGTCCTCTGTGACTGTCTTGAAGGAGTAGGAGAACTTGATGCCCTGGAAGAACTATGTCCAAAGAAGCTTAGCTTGCCGAGCTTCTTTGAGAAAGAACTCATAAATTTTCGAGAACCAGATTTTTGCATGGTCCTTTTCATACAAACATGATCTTTTTCTAAATCATTGAGTCTCATTCTCATACGAGCCAGCTCAAGCTTTAGCTCTCGATTCTCCCTTCTTAGTGAGGCATAGTTGTCTTTGGGAGACATTGATGCACTGAGAGCTCCACTATTGACACGCCATGAATGGAACATCGGCTTAGGTTCTTCCTCGGGAAATGAGCAACCTAGGGCATTTCGGAGTCTTAGCTGCTCGAAATAGAGTACTTGGACTATTGACTGTAGAGGAAGCCGCTCATTTTGAGCTGCATGCGCGCCTGCTTCTTGTGAGAGCTTTTGGAAGTCAATCAGCTTGCAAAGCTTTCTTTTTTCTGCATCTGATAAACCTTGATGTGCCTGCTTATACGAAAGAAGATAAGTCATTCATCATTTCATCATTTTACATGGACAATCCTGGTCAGGTTGATGCAGCATGCATCTAATTAGGCTATCAAGCGAGGTGAATTCAATGTACATGGTACTATGGGATATGGCTTTGTTCTTCACTTAAGAAAAATAAGTTCTGATACATTCCAATAAGGGTTGCTCAAGCTCAATTCATAACTATGATTAGTTTAGACAAGTTCAAAATAATTGTTCTATTAGTGAATTAATTAAGCATATTTCTATAAAAAAAAAATACCAGTATGTATTAGACATAATTCAAGGATCGGAAGGCAATGATGAGTAAATTAAATTAAGCCAAATATTCTGCATTTGTTATTTAGTATTATGATTTTGTTGCTATATGAACAATGCCCTTATGTAACTCCAACAGATTTGAGGGGAAAAAGTGCAGTCAAAGATGACAGTAAGTCCTACTCCGTTCATATCAGAAAGCATTATTGTCCATGCATAATTTGTGATATTTACCTTCAAATAAACATCAATGGCCCTATACAGTCCATCATGAATGGTGCGTGCATGTTCTGGCAAAGCTTCTGCAATAACTAAGAACTTGTTAAGCTTGAGGTTTGCATCCGGGGCAATCTCAACAAGGTAATTGTCCACCAACTTTGAGACTTTGAATAGGGCACCCTGTGAAGGTGATTGAGGACTTTCTGATTCAAAAACAGAAACATTTTCCAATTCTTCTTCACTATCATCTTGCTGAGAGAAGTTAACCAAAATCCTATGAACAGTGTCCACATCAAATAGCGTATCTCCAGCATGGCGAAATGAGGGAATCAAAAGGTCATCCAAAGTGGCCATATCTAATTGGGATCCTATCCTTCTCTCTAGATCAAGCCTGCAAGCAACAGAACAGTCCAGCAGAATAGCACTCCTCAGAAGTCCAAAGAGGAAACTAAGTGGCACGACTAGTTTCTCTACCGGCAATAGACTGACAATAGTTTCAACCACAATTCTTTCATTGCTACCAGCCCCAGCAATAACATCTGGTCTTGATTGACCAGAGACATTCCACAAGCTGGCTTTCTTTGTCAACTCCTTTTCTGCGTAGTTTATAAGAGAAGCACCTATACTCTCTGGTCTAACCCCTCTACATTTCATTGCTGATATGACTCTCTGATACATGTCTACTCGAAGGACTGAAAGATCTTCAATCCACCAGTCCCCGTCACATTTCACAGGTCGGCTTAAGTTGAGCCTCCCTGAGCTGCTGTACTCCAACCTTGAGAAACTTGAAGCAATTTGTTCTGTACATGCCTTAGAAGCTATAGCATCAATGCATCTGCCAACTATTTTCAGCTCATCAGCAAGTGGGAGAAGATTTTCACATTGCTTTAGAACTTCAACACACATTTCTAGGTTCTTGCAGACTACACTGTCAAGGTATTCTTCAGCTCGAGATCCAAGACTGTCTTTCGAGTAACTTTCAGTCATTTCAAGGTAATCAGAGACACAACAGAGCTGGGCAACATTAGCTGGTGTGATCTCAAAGTTATTACCATAGCAAAACTTTGCTGCCAGCTCAAATGTTTCAGCACCTCCAGGTAGGTTGAGAAGCTCAATCTTTGATTTATCAGAATCTCGACAGTCAGCTATTAACCTGCGTAAACGCCCACTACGCGAGACTAAAGGGAACTGCATATAAGACAGCAGTGTTGCATCAGAATTATGCATGAATAGAACACCTAATTAGAATACAAATAAATAATCATCAGAATGAACTGATAGTTAGTCATGAGCCCAGCAAAATATGTGAACTATAAACGTTTTGTAGTGTTCAGCTACAAATTAATTTCAATATTCTGAACGCGTGGTGAAAAGACAGGGAGGATGCATACAGGAGGAACTCCACAAACAAAAAGTTACTACTTGCATGAGGCACAACAATTGCTGTCAGAAGCTCACCTTATGAAGTGCATAAGTCCCTCCAGGAACTTCTATGATGATATCACTGGGAACATCCCTAAATATCCTACAACGGGAAAGCAAGCGAACACAGTTAGAGCTGAAAATCAAGACTAGAGTTACGGAGACACCATTCAATTAGAAAGAGTATTAGTATCTAAGTACATACACAATTATCATGGTGATGCTGTATGTGAAAGAATAAATGTTTAAGACATCTTCTCTTCAGATAACTTTTTTTAACATTATGAAAAAACAAAGGTGGAGTAGGAGGTATATTCACAGATGACCCGAAAAAGACAACTCAAAATACCACTAGTCAATAAAGGTAGATTCCGACTTATTCCTCCCTATCACCTTTGATTTCTAACATGCCTGAGAAGACATGGACGTGTCAAAAAAAATAGATTAGAGCAGGATATAAAGAGAAGTTCATGTAGAGAATATTAAATAATATTTGAAGAAAAGAGAAGGATAAGAAGACAATTAAAGTGGAATGGTACAAAATAGTAGTAGAAAGCAAGCAACAAGAGAGTAGTAATAGAAGAAAGAAATACTTCTTCATTTAGAGTCTTTGCCGTACAAATGAAGGAACGATTGAATGAAGATATCAAGAAGAATACAATCATAAAAGGTTCCCTTAGAAAGAAGATATAAGGAAAATGACTATTCACTTGTCTGCAAGTATGTATGGACTTGAAGAATAGGGTTCAACAACTATTTGAATTATTTACAACTCTGAGTTTGTGACTTATTATGGAGGGATACTAGAGCTGAAATATACCCTGCTAAATTCAGCATTTCCATGACTGCTCAATCACCTGAATCATTTCAACAGCATTTTGGGTAATCGAAAAAACTGATTAAACCTCGAAATTTGGGTAAAGCAATTCTTAGGGATCACAGCCAAGGCTGTGTAAGAAATAAAAAGTACTGACAACACTGAAATCTACAAATTTAGTACATCAGAGATAGCAGAACCGGCTAATCGTTTTTCAAGCACATAATTATCTTAACAAATTACATGACTTAGCTTCTAATGCCTTAAGTGTGTTGTGGACTGAAGTACCTTTCAATAGATGGTTAAGGGTGGTGTCAAATTCGGCATATCAAATGCTCTTTGACTTACAATGTGTGATGCTAGACTCTATACGAAAATTTCTAGTGGTCCTGTAATTGACCACACCAAATAAATCGAATTTCTTCCATCAACCGCCCCATTTGACCTTTACTCGAAAAAAAACATAATTCATTTTTGAGTAAATCTCACTTCCAACACCATGATGTAAACTACACACATTTGGTTGATTCTCTGAATTTTCCATAATTTTATTGCTAACTCTAAAACTAAAGCTAATAAACGTCGAAATTCCCAGAAAAAATAAGAAAATAAATAAAAGGATAAGAAGATTCAAAGGGATGATCTTCAGAAAGCATAAAGAAGATTAAAGCAGGAAGTGAAAATTAGCCAAAATTCATCCAAAAAAAAAACTATCAGAATTTTGAAGATGTAAACAATACCCATTAAAAAAACAGATTAAACCCAGAAAATTAACATGATCAGCTCAGCTGGAAATTATACTCAAACACTTCAACCAAATTTACATTAAAAATTTAAAATTGAAAAAACTGAATTTTCACAGGAAAAATAGATTAAACTCATCAAAATTCAAACTTTTTGTAGCACCAAAAAAAATAATTCTTATTAAGAAAGGTGGTATAGAACGAACCATTCGTTGCTACGCTGTCGCGAGCTTTTAGACAAGGGGAGTTGCTGCCTATCAGCGCGGTCCATTGACAGAGAAGAAGATGAAGAATAACAAAGAAAAGAGAGAAAATGAAGGGGAAACAGAAATGAGATTCTTGAATTAGAAGACAGAAAAGATAGTGGCAGTGAAAGTGGGGCTAAAGAGAGTGAAATGAGGAAGAAACAGAGAAACTTAGCAAAAACAAAGACAAAGACAAAAACCCAGGTGAAGATGTTTGTTAATTCTTAAAAAAATTCCGGTTTTTTTTTTTTTTAATGACGATTCATTTTAGCCGACCCCAAATCATTTTGGACTACGACTTTGTTGTTGTTGGGGGGGTAGATCGTTGGGGTATTTCATTGAACAGGTGGTGATCATCAAAGGCAAAGATTACTCTTGGCCATACTAATGGCCCTATAAAATGGTGGGTCATCCTTCTCATCATCAAAATGTAAACAATTTCTCTCTCTTAAAAAAAATTGAGCAGATTGAAATATTTATGGGAAATTATAATGAAAATTAAAATGCCGTTAAAGAAGCGCAAAAAAGGGCAAAGATAAGGAAGTCGTATCTTGTGGGAAAAAAAGCGGGAAAAAAGGTAGTTAAAATGGGGTGTGGGAGTGGGGGTTTGACATTATTATATATTTATACTAACCTATAGTTTTTTTTATATAATTAATTATAACCTATGCTTTTTTAATTTTGTCTTTATGGAAAGGTGAAAAAACAAAATGATGATCACATTTTTGTACCTTCACCTTTTATAAATTGACAAATTTGCCCCGTGATTAGAGGTTTTGTTTTTTTTTTGTTTTTGAAGGATTAGTAGTTTTAAATATTGGATTTTATTAATGGATTAGATAATTTAGATTGTCTTCTTGATTTCATGCTAAGACAATGATTATTCAACTTTTTAAATTGTTAATTTAAGGAGTGATTTTAGCTTCGATGAGAAGTTTGTCATTTTTAATTGTTTTTATAGGGTAATTAGTAATGCTCTAATAGATGATATGAGTGCTGTGATTAATTAATCATTACCCTATTTATCTTCCTCTCCACTCCCATATCACGGTATAAGCTTCTTATTTACTCTACGCATGAACTTGAATACTTGATCGTACATCTTTGATTATATTGGCTTAGCCGATTGAGAGTTTGGAATGGAGGAGGTAAATTGTTGATCATTTAATGCTTACTAGTTGATGATTCATATATCATATGAAGATGAGTTTTTGAAATACGGATTTATATTAACTTATTTTTTTTTTAGGGAATTTATCTTAACTTATACTCCATATATCTTATAATATTTTTAAAAAAAATTAAAGTAAAATTATTGTGCACATAGGGCACACCAAAAAAAATTTGTTTAACTTGATGAATAGGATGGAAAAGTATATATCTTGTCAAAAAAAAAAGGATATATGACTAATAATGATGTCCTATACACAAGAGACGTACAACTTAAATCACTTATTATTGTTTGATCTATAAATTGCAAATGTTGGAGTAGTTTATTTGACATAGAATGTGTAAAAATGACAGTGGAAATGTAATAATCTTAATTATAAGATCACATCACTATTATCGAATATTAAGTGTTAACATTATATTGAATGAAAAATATAAAATAATTGTTATTGGTGTCACATTGTCATTCCGTCTATATCTCTAATTGCAACTATTTCAAACAAACAAGTGAAACAACTATTAACTCATGCAGCAACACAGTAAAAATTAATGTAAAACAAGAAACAATAATCTTGCAAAATATCTTTAATTGCAATTTTTTCAACCAAATAATCCAAACAACTATTAACTCGTGCAACAATACAGTAAAAATTAATTTAAAACAAGAAACACTAATCTTGCAAAATAAGCAAAAGTTTAGGCTTTATTTGATTTTTTATTTTTTTCCCTACTTTTCGTATGAAAAAGGTAACAAATTTGTCGAAAAGGTCATAAAAAGGAGAAGAAAGGAGGAAAATTGTGGTTAGAGAGAGCTGTGGTCTGTGGAGAATATAATATACTATGATTACCAGCCACCTTCATTACTGTGGGCCCGAAATCATTATCTAGGCTGGCCCAATGGGCCCAACCCATATTAATGGAGTATAACAGATCTAAGAGGCTATTAAGAATGGCAAATTCGATGATATTCATATTCCATTAGTCAAATGTCAATAATTTATTTTATTTTTATTTTAAAATTTGTTGTATAAATATTGTCAATACTCAATTCAATCATGTCGTACGAACTCTATAAGTAAGATACATTGAACACTTTCCTGAGATAGGAGGTTAGAGCAATTGGCTAACTCTCTGACTTTCGAATGTTTAAGTTAGGCTAATATATCTACACATTTACAATTGTGTTGTGACATTCAAAATAAGGACTGCTCAAGCTCAATTCATACCTTTGGGATTGAGTGACATTAATTAGGAAGAATTTTAATAAGATGAAGCCGGTGACAACCCTAGTAAGTTAGTTCTTGATAGACACATAAAGGTTAGTCACATCTCTTCATATATAATTTGTGGCATGTTGTAAGCAAGGTAACATAATTAAGGCCAACAACATTTAGGTTCCAACATGGTTATTAGCTAAAACATGAAAGCCAACATCATATATAGTAGTGATATAACAAAGGGGCATAGAAGTCGATCATGTTCCCAATCTCGGACGACGTAGACACAAGTTGTTGAGGAAGTGTTTGAACTAACACTACATATATACTCGGTTGATACGTTCCTTAGTCTCATTGGCATTTTTGGCAAGGCCTATGTTGTTCAACCAATGAGCTAGAATGCAGCCGATATGGTGCCCCAATTCAAACACTTGTGCATTTGCAAAATTTTTACACATCGCACCTAACGTTGTTAACGAGACTTTATTTTAAAGTATATGATGATGACCTTTTTATCTTCGTCATTTGACTTGAATTCCTTCAAACTTTTTGTGTAGATCGACTTTCTTCCCAAATTTCATTATAGAAATATCCGGCTTCAATTCCTTGATCGAAATTATCTTCACAAATTTGATTGACTAAAGAACAAAGGTTCCAAGTTGTAAAAATAACATGCAACATATGCAAGTGAGTGAGAGAACTAGGGTGAAAATGTTAGCGTTTGAGCACTGCTTGCTTCAATATATATAACTTGATTATTTCCCTCTTCTTTTTAGGTCTGTTTGGATGTCTTAGTCGTGTGATTGAAGTGATCGAGAAAAAGGGAGGAATAGTTCATTCATTTTCCCATGCAAATTTGAAAATGATGAGATTTTAGCTCCTTAAGTTAGCTAAACTCATGCATGAGGTGAGGTTTAGTAATCATATAAGTGATGTAATATGGCAAGTAGGGGTGTGAAAATTTTGATTGGATTAATAAAACTTGCTGTTACGTACTCCGTATTAGTTGCTTGACCCAAAAGCAACGCAAAAATCAGTATAAAATTGTCATCCTATTTTCGTTATTCATACTATATATATTTAATTATTATGAACATAAAATAATTGTCCATAAATCAATCGATCACTCATGGTTTAATGAGCATCGTACCAACTAAACGTTTCCTTAATTTGGATCGGAATTAAAACCTTTCAACTTTGAAGTTGGGGATGTTGCATCCCGCTAGGCCTAAGGAGACATTTGAGATCAAGAAATTTGGATCTGAATTTCTAATTTTGGTGTCGAATATCCCATTTCTTTTAAAAATAATCCTATATCTACATAATAAAAGTTTTGTATTGAGAACCTAACTTACATGATGTATGAATATACATAAACATCAAAGATATAATAAATGTATGTACAAAATACCTTATTCTCAATCATTATTAAATCTCAATAATTGTTACAATGAAATTATATTTCTCATAATTAAACAAGTGACAAAGATGTATATAAGCGTTGTATTATCAAGAGAACAATATTCGAAGAGTCCAATAACTAATTGATTCTCAGATGTGCTCATATGCATAATGGGGAAAATAAAATGAGAGAATTTTTGGCTATCGTTTCATTTGAATAGTTAAATTAGTTCTAATCTAAAGAAAAGAAATAAAGAGAATTACATTTCTTTATCATATATTTCATTATCGATATGTACGAATTTGTTGGGTGTTCAAGACAACAAGTTAAATACATCAAAACTATATGAATGGATTATTGTTATTAATAGGATGAGAATGGTAGTTGGCCCACGAATATTATAGAGCTTGAGACATAGATTGGCATATTAATGAGAGTTTATGAGGCTCTAAATCTTTTCTAAGCTACCAAACGAGCAAATTGGCTTCCCCACATTTATAAACTAGTGGGGAATGCATGCATGGGAAGGCTAAAGGAGGATAATTAATTTAAGTTGCATACACATAACACATGGCTTGTATTTGTAATTGGTTCGATAACCTTCTAATTGGGGAAATACCTACGCATTGGATTCGTCTATTTGACACCATTATAGCATTATTCTTTAATGGATAGAATTTAGATACATGTTATAATTAAAATAGAGGGGGCTACAAATAAGGTAAGGTGACAAGTTATCAATTGGCCTATCTTTACATGCATGATGCATGTCTAATTGTCGATCTATACCATCAGTATAAGAGAGAGTTATATATTTTTGAATGTACCGAACAAGCTTGATAGAGTTGGTAAGCTCAAGGTCCATCAATTATTTTTGTTTGGAAGTAGGGGGATTCTTTAATCCTTTTACCTCCCTCCCTCCCCCACCCCCCTTCTCCCCTACTCTCAACTCAAGTAGTGTTAACCTACAGAGTTGGGTTGGCTTAATTTGTGAGAGGTGCTGATTTAGACATTCATTAAGGTAAGTATAGGTTATGCGATCATGTGATCGATTCAATACAACACAAATGATTAGAGGGTATAATATTTCATTAATATT